ATCCAGACAATAACATACATTTTCAAAATGCTGTACAAAAAACTGAATGGACAGGAAATTAGCTGGAAAGACACTCCTTACAACATTAAAAAAATATACAAAATAGGCACTTAATTATATATCACACACACATACAGCATGTACATGTACAATATACCAACAATTCAGATACTTGAGCCCATATTATAACACAATTCACCTGAAAATTTATTTTTACAATTATATTAAATATACTTGACTAGGGAGCAATGTAAGAACCTTGTCAACTAATAATAAACAAGGCCTTATCCTACAGGAAGAACAGCTGAAGAAGTCAGGAAGAAGTGTTAATATACTGATATCTTTGTATTGCAACCAGGAACTCAAATTTTTGAAATGATACTTAAAATTTAGCTTCTCAGAGATGAGTGTAAATTCTGCTCTAAACCCTGCTTCAGCCTACTATGAGAAGCTGCCAAAACACTGTCTTTCAGTGGAAAGTTCAGTTTACATGCTAATGAATCCTGCACCCTCATTAGAGTGCAGATCTAGGGGAGATATTATTTTGTGGTGTGTTTTTGGCATGTAAATGAACAAATTTTAGGATACTGAATATCTGACAAATAAATCAGTAGCAGCACTTAAATAAAAGTACCCCAGAAGCTTTTAGAAACTGTCATGTTCAGAAAAACAAAGTCACTACCTACTACTGTATGTGTCTGCCTGGCTGAAAACTACATATAACATGTAATATGGATGTTCAATTTCACATATCATTTATCCAAATTATTGCATGGTTATACAGAATGAGAAGAATTATTCATGTTCATAATGGCAAGTTCCTGATCAGAATATTATTTACGTAGATCTGTGATTTGGAGAAACCTACAGTGCTTTCAATAGGAAGACACAGATTGTCAAAAGAGTGCAACACACCACAAATAATCTGTCATTCACGGTCCACATCCAATCACCTTGTTCAGTTGAGGATAGAAGGCTGTTAGGTGACACAACACACCCTGTGGCAACAGCAACAGCTGAAAACAGAACAGTTCTGTGGTGGCTTTCACTGACAAATTATCATTGAGGTTTTTATCAAAATTGTCAGTATGTTAGCTATAAAATTGCTGTAGGATTGTCACTTTTTAATTTGAAATTTCCTGTACCACTTTAGTGTGGGCAAAAAATAAATTATCTGTAATGATCTAAATGCTACTGCTAACACTAGCTAGCTAATGTAGTCTTATTAGTATTAGCAAAATAGTGCTATCTATCTATCTTAAAATTTTATATTATCATTTTGTAGCAGACTAGGTTTAAGAAAGATAATTTACTTTGTGACAGAAACCTACATTTAGAAACATAATTTACTCAGCTCCCTTTCCACTCAAACAGAAGGTATTTTGTGTTTTTTAACTCTATTGTTGGCTACTCTATATAGCCAGTATATGCAATTATGTACACATTTCCACTGGACCTTCATGCCACCAGTCCAGTTGTAGTTTACAGGAAATAATATTGTCACTGCAGGCCTGTCTAGTCTTAACTGTTTTTTAAAATAAATACCTGTATCAATTTGCCAGCAAGTCTTATTTTTTGTCTGCAGTTCTGTACAATTTTTGGATGGAGCAGCTACCTTCAACTTGGCAACAGTAAAATTGCAGGTAAATTTTGAGTTGTGCCTGCTATTATTAACAACAAAGTGAGGACTTCAAGTCAATTTCAACAATTATGGTTTCAAAGTATTAGTATGACAATATGTCACTTGTACTTTTGCTCTTTGCCCCTAGTGTCACAGAATTTGGAAAAAGAGAAAGAAAGAAATCTCCCTAGTCTCCCTCTTCACATTATAGTTTACAGCACCTGTACAAAGTGAGCTCAGGCCAGCTTTCTGTTTAGTGGAGCTCCAGCTACAGTATTTGATGAGCAGGTAGAGCTACCTCCCAAAACTCATTTCGCCAGCATTTCATATGCCAATCACAAGGTACCTTTGGTTGTAAAAGCTCTTGAAACAACAACCACATTTCACACCTGTTACAGTTCCAAAGCACTACATTAAAACATCTCTCTAATTGGTTTGACCACTCTGATGAGGAAAAGCCTTGCAGCATGAGTAGATCTCTACTGGTTTAGATGGTTTTGGGATGTGGTCCAAATAAAGGTTGTTTAGCTTGGCTCAGGAATAGGCCTCTTACCTCCACAAAAACCCAAGTCCAACATCATAATCCCTATTACAGTTAAACTCAAACTGCAATGAAGTACAGTCATAGTTTATAGTAAGCCCTTAACCTGAACTGATTGACATGTTTAACAGATTCCAAATTATTATTATTATAAATGTGTTTTACTGCCATGACCTCAAGTTTCAGTGTCCTATAAATTCTGGCATAAACAATAGTTTGTTTTTCATTACAATGAATTAGCAAATTTTAAAAACAGCTGCTTTGCCTTATGCTTTCAAGCCCTATTCCCTACAAAGGAACAATCTCATCATACTTGTTACTCTCTCCTCTAGCTCCTGCCAGTCAGTGCTCTCTCCATTCCAGTCATATTCGAAGCAACTCCTGTGCAGCCCTTCAGTCTTCCTCTAGTCAGGTCCTGGCACATCACAGGATCCTGGGCAGACACAGTAACCCCAATACTCACAGAGGTGGAGGTGGTGCTCTCCTCCCCTCTCCTCTGTTGCTCTGGTGTTGGAGCAGGTGCTCTGATTCCACTACTTCCAGCACCCACGCAATCTCTGGAACCGACGCCTCCTGCACGCCTTTTAGGCGGTGGACCCCAGAGGAAGGCATGGGCAGGCCTGTAGTGCTGGCAGGCATATCGGAGTAGATGCCTGCGGGTGGCCGGCAGGCGAATTGTGTAGACATAGTACTCCAGGACACTGTGTTGCATGTTGGGAAGGGTGCTGTGGCACAGCGATTCCTCCAGGAAGAGGCGAACCAATGGGGCCTTGAAGGTCTCATAACCAAGTTCGCCCAGGGATTTCAGGATGCGAGTGATCCGTAGGTAGTTGTGCTGGGACCTTTAAAGAACACAGCTGGAGATTAAGAAGTGTAATGGAAATGAGAGAGGGAAAAACCATGATCAATCATTATACATTGCAACATGATCACAATAATATACTAATAATATCATCCTAGAAAACATCTTGATGTGACTGCAAGAAAGGCCCTGGTATCCTGGTACTATTCATGCTGGGTCACTGTCATACTATCATGGCTCACTGGGACACGTGGATATATCAGAGCCATTGTTAATGTTATTAGTAACTAGGGCTGGGCTCCAATAGCCAGTTCTATTTTGGAACTGCTTCCAAGTTGGTGAATTCTCCGAGTTTATTAAACTTCATGGTTAAACGAATCCCTTATCAAACCTGTCATTCGTGTTCTGTTTAGTTTACACTCTTCAGTGCCTCTGAAAAAGGAAAAAAATGTTTACAAACTGATGATAACTTAGCAATTCTGTAGACGTTAAGCTAGGCTATGTAGCCGTTTACATGTTATGTAAATACAGTTTGGAGGAAAAAAACGCTTTCATTACCAAACATGGCAGGCCTGCTTATCCACTCTGAAATCAAAGACACAATTGCAAAAAGTGATATTTGCAGGTCGGCTACTCACTGAGAAAGGGGAAACAACTTGTCCCTTGTTTAAATAGTGTTCTAGTGTCCATCATGTCAAAGTAAGTAAACAACACAAAAACAAAACAATGCCTGACAAAAAGGACAATTTCACTGAAGAAAACTAAACCAAATCATCTTTAGGTTTTGTTGAATACTAGCCAAAATGTGAAAAAAAAATATATATATATATTTTCAGCATACAGTCTGAATGACTCACGATGTGGCACCTACTGTATCTTGTATTAAGCTGTTCTAGGAAAATACAGAGGATTATTTTTATAAGAATAGTTTGCTCCTGTTGGTTGGTTGGTGTCAGGATTCTAGAGACCGCAGTGAAGCAGATGCAGAAGTCTTTGATGGGATATTAAAAGCAAAAGATGGGAATAAAACTGTATTGAGCAGCTGTTTTATGGAGGAGAATTTGTTTTTCTTCATTTGGTTGGAATAATGTCCACAAGTAGCATCAGATGCTAAGATTTAGAGGAAGTTTGAGACTTGAGGAGGTCTGGTAGTATTACTGAGACCTTAGTGGGTAGAAGGAGAAAAGCATAGTTTAAAAAATGTATGACATTCATGTTTTTTAGCAAGAAAATGCAATTACTTCTTTCAAGCCATGAAACATCAACATAGATGTGTAAGAAAAAAAAAATCACCCTTTAAATTGCCATTTAACCATCTGTTTGTTGACTTAAAACATGATGTTTCACATTTGGTTGCTAACAGAAGAACAGTTATGTTACATGGATTTTAGGATAACTGTTTTGCTGAAGGACACAAAAGCAGCAATTGGCAACCGAGCAATGTGTTTGCATAAATTCTCACTGCAATTTTAGACTCCTAAGCTGCTGCACAATGTGTTTATGTCTGGATGCTTACTCATTAAGGTGCTGGAAGCGCTCCTGCCAGTTGGGAGCTCGAGCAACATTCCCACTCTTATCCAGCAGTTTGATGCCATAGAAGTCCAACATCAGGGAATAGGCCAATAGGAATCTCCGCTTAGCTTCGCGACTGCTTTGGAATTCCTGACAGAATTCAAGATAGCAGATCAGAAACCACCCATGTAATACAACACCAGCTTTGTTGTTGGCATGCATTATGGGTGATCAGATGATAATCTTATGGAGCAGAAGGACATAAAATCAATGTGTTAATGCACATGCATGGTTTCACTGAAACCATGTCTACATTTGCTCACAGACACTTTGGCACTCATTAACAATGGAGTGTAAATAAATTTCAAAACAAATTCACATAACCAAAGGAAAACTAACTTTTAGGTGAAGTATTTTTCAGAGCCCTTCTTTGAGGGGAGTCACCTGGGTGACTGCTTTAGTGCAACAACTTACTTATGTTGAAACAAATGTTTTGAATGTTTTCGTTGAGTGGAAGATACAGTCAGTCAACCATGGTAAGCACTTATGCAATGAGAAATGCAAACATGTCAGACACAGTTCAGAAAGTAACGCTGACACTCTATGTAGAGTCTGTATGTGTCTTACTTTGATTTCATCCTGAGTCAGCTCATGAGCGTAGAAGTTAAGCCCTTGTTCTCTTAATGGGAAAAGCCTGCCACACAAAAAGGAAGAAACACAAGATGTGATTATGATTTTTTAAAATTACCAATACAATGAAAAAACATTTGCTATCTAATTCATGTTGATTATGAAAGCTGTTATTGTTGTCCTCTGTAAAGTACTGCAGATTAGCACCACTGCTGCTTCCTTATACATCTCCATAGGTGTAGAACCATTAGCAAAGTGACACTTTGCTAAACCCTTCCCCCAAAACAACAACTTATCAATCACAGCTTAGCAAATGTAACTGTGGATTTCATACCAGTGTACATGTGGCTGCACCGCAGACTGTACATAAACATTGCATCACTGCTTTCCTCCACTCTGCAAAAGTGAAGCCAAAATACTGTATCATGACTACAATGGCTGTCATCTTGGCATTTTGCAGCCAGACTCTGCATAGTAGCAACCAGAAGTGGAATGACAGCATCAGATGGCCAGTCAACTCAACCAATTAACAATACAGTCAATTACAAGGAACTGATACAATTACACAGAATGTCTTACCATTGAATGTAGGTGTGGTTGTGCTCCAGTTTGTCATAGTCACCTCTCCACTTAGTCAGAATCTCCTCTATATAGATACCTGAGAAGAGACATCGCCTGTTAACTGCCATACACATTTAGCATGTGTGTGTGTGTTTGTGTGTGTGTGTGAGAGAGAAAGAGACAGAGAAAGAGCTTGGATCAGTCCACTAATCTGCTGATATTTCCAAGTCAGTTTTGCCAAACAAAACTGACTAAACCTAGCCCAACATCACTTCTCTCCACAGTTGCAGGAGATCTGCATGCTTAAAGTGTATGTGTGTGTTCTTGTATTTGCTACATATTGCAGACCAAAAAAAGGAGTGAGGACAGTTTTGGAAAGTGAGGACATTTTGGCCAGTCCTCACTTTGTGAAACACCTTTTTGAAGGTTAAGACTTGGTTTTAGTTTTAGGTGTAGGGTAAGGGTTATGGTTAGGCATTTAGTTCTAATGGTTAAGGTTAGTGTAAGGGGCTATGTCAATAAGTGTCTTCATAAAAATGGAAGTACAAGTTTGTGTGCACACACACATGCTTACCATCAGGCACTAGAGGGATCTTGTTCAGGTAGAAGCGTAGATTACGATACTCGTTTGGTTGCCGGGACCTTTTGTAGCTCTGCACAGAAATATCAAAAAGATCACACATGGTGTCTACACTGTATGTGAGAAAGTGTTACAAAGAAAGGATTACACCTGTGTACATGTATCCAGACAGTTGACATTTGATGTGTATGCTTGCACCTCAAATGTCATGTACATGTTCTCAGTACACTGCAAAAAAGGAATTTCAAGAAAGTAAAAAAAAGCCTTGTATCAAGGAAATAAGTCTTATTTTAAGTCCAGAAAGAAAATTTATCTGGTCAAGCATGGTTTGCATTAGAAAAATAATCTCATTTTAAGAAAGTATGGCTAACGTTTTCTTATAAAGATATTCCAGCTAATTTTGAGCTAGAATGAGCCAGTAACAAGATATAAAATGTTTTAATGGTTAAATGGGCAAGTCCAAAAAACAATGTTTTGATTCAAATCTCATGCACATGTGACGGACCATTAGTCCTAGTAATTTTATCTGTGATGGAGCATGAATCAAATAGTGCTGTTTTGGGGTAATGTTGTGATCAGCGAAGAGATTTTTCATGTTTTAAATGCTGTTCAATTAGTGTTTTTAACTTGCTAATTGTCTGTAGACCAATAGCTTTCACCTCTGAACCTAAGATTGCGTGTAATACATTTTGTGATACCAAGGGTACTTACCATAGTTCCCATGTCTTATAAAGACAGGAACCACTTGACATTTATTATTTTTAACATTCATGTCACTCAATTTTAATAACAAAGTAATACGAACACTTTTTAGACAAATATACTTTGTATAAATGCAAAATAAACTTATTTAAGATGAGCGGCCACCCCTGCTCCCTCTGTGAAAATGGTACAATCCACCGTGTCATGCTCCCTCCTGCCCCTCTTGAAGTCCGTTACATTTTGAGAAGTTTCTGCACACACTTTGGCGGTCATTTCAGCAGTCTAATAATTCTGTGAATATTTATTCTAAAGTGTCGTTTGTCTGATGTCAGTGGAGTGGAATTATGGATCAACTGGACGATGTTTCAATTGCCACACTCAGAGGTATGTTACAAGGGTTCTAATGTCGTGCTAATGTTCTATTTGGCTAGCTAACCTAGCTTAATGGGTTGTAGATTCCCGGCGCCAATGACACTAATACACTAAAAACGTACTGCTACTTGATGGTTCTTATCTAAAACAGATGAGCCAGTCTAAAGTCTAATTAGGCTTTGGGATTTCATTACCAGGGTTGAGAACCCCTGGTATAGATTATACCCACAGACCTACTATCTGATATTGATATCTTTTGTTTTTCCTCCCTCAACTAGTTGAACATGCCATTGCTGTTTTTACTGTCCTGCCGCTGCTCTTCCCATCTGGCTCTACAGCACTGAAGAAACGGGCCCCAATCAGTGAGGCTTTTTTCCACGTTCTGATAGTAAGTTTTACTCAGCAGTGATAAATTATGAACGGGTGCCTACACTCCCAATAAAATACTGGGTTAAATCCTGCTTTGCACTACATAATGCAGCATAAAAATTAACTTAAATGGAAATTAGACAGAAAAATTTAAATTCTGTCATTTACTTGCCCACAAGTTGTTTTGAACCTGTATACCTTTCTTTGTTCTGCCGAACACAAAAGTAAGATATTTTAAACAATGTTGATAACCCAACAGATCTGGGTCAGCATTTACTTCCCTTGTAAGATGTGTAATCTAAATTCTGTATCTTTATATTTTGTTTTCTAGCCTTCAGAGGATCCAGATACCTACATCCACAGGCGTGCATTTTCCTGTCCTGTTTTGCTGGTTGGTGAGGAGAACTGCATGATGGTTGTAGGTACAACCCCAGTTCTAACATTTGATAAAGACTTGCTCTCTGAGGGGCCTCTCTACCTCCTGGCCTATTACTATGCATTCCATCTCACATATCCAAAGTGCCTGGCAACACTCTTGTCTGTGTTGCATCAGAAGTTCTGAAAGATGCCATCCACGAGCAGGATGCAACCCCCTCGTACAAAAAGGTCATTCAAGAATGGAGGAATGGAGAATGTTTGTTGACTAAGTACTGTTTCAAACCTGCTGTGAGACAGCTGCAGTGTTTTTTTGTTTTGTTTTTTTCTTTCTTTTCCATTTGCACTTGATTTGTGCTGTTAGTTTTTTCCCCCATTTTGTAACTTATGGGGGACTACAATTTGAGGTCACAGTCTTGTTCTGTGCTAGTGCTTTTTTTCTTTTTAAAGAAAGGCTTTAGTTAATTTTGGACTGTTCATCCTGTTTAAGAGGAGAAAGCTGAGAATTTTCATCTCATTTTAGGTTTTTGTGTGATTTAAAAAAAAATCAAAGTAAGCTGGGTTTAAGCTTAAATATTCTAGTTTTAATGCAATTTTTTCCTAAAATAATTATTAATCAGTGCTTATAAAAATAGAAAACTGTAAAATTTTAAGCATGTTTGTCTAGTTTTAAGACCCAGTAGTATTTTTAGTGACTAGATTCAAGTTAAATATTCTAGTTTTAATGCTGTTTTCACTAACTTATTTATTATTCAATTCTTATAAAAAGCTAAAAAGTCTGGTTTTAAGAATTTGTATCTAGTTTTAAGATCCAGTAGCATTTACTATTGACCAGATATCTATGCTAATTTCAAGAATTCCTAAGTCGTTTTTGCTTACCCCATTGGCAGATTTTTTTGCTTGATTTTGTACATTTTGACTAGATTTAAGTGCTTTTTGCTTGTTTTAAGAAGGGTTTTTTTTTGCAGTGTAGCTCCACAATATGACACCATTTTTTGTTTGTGTGTGTGTGTGTGTGTGTGTGTGTGTGTGTGTGTGTACCAGATAGCTGTGACGATACTTGTAGAGGTCCCTGGCAGCATTGAAACTCCTCTTCATCTTTGGAACAAACTCTGGGGAGTTAGTCAGCTGAGATGAAGCAAGAAAAAAAAGACAGGAAGACATTTTAAAAGCACATAGCTTTTGAGGTTGACAGGGTCATTATCCATTTGTTTCTAGCAAAGGAGACAATTCACATTAGCGCTGTGGTGCAATTGCCATAAAGCTAGAAGCTAGAGCTGGTTCTCAAATCAAATCTGGGTCATGTTACAGTAATTTCCGCTGGTCTGGAAAGGTTTGCAGTGTTACACTAGGCCGGATCCTCATATAACTACATTCGTTCTCTTATATACTGCAACAGAATGTCTGTGAAACATAGCAACACAGGCTCTGTAATGGTTAAAATTCATTGCCTTTAAGCTGCTGACACACTGTATCATACACTCTAAAAGGTGGCTTTTGTTATTTTTACCTTATGCTGAAATGAATCCTAAATATTTCTTAATCCCCCTCATTAAATAGCAAGTTTTAATTGTAATCATGACACACACTGTGACAGATCTGATTTCACCTATTTGAAATGATCAAACTAAGTGATGTAGTGATGATAATGATAATATTGAGTTTAATGTTAAAATAATATTTGATTTCCTTTATAAACCAGTAGGTAGTGTAACTTCATTTGGAAAAGCAACTGCATTTAATTCACTAACAAAATACTTGTGCAGTACTGCTTTACCAAACCATGCAGTAAGATATAAAAATAAGATTTTATACTTGATATAATACACGAAACATCAATGAATGTAAATTCATCTAAACTATAATATAGCTGACTCACTGACAGTATTGAAAATGTTAGATTAGTACTCCTGGGTGGATTGAATTTCAGTGAGGAGTAGTACAGTTCCAACCATGTGTGTCTTTATCTGTTGTTACAAATAAAACAGGCATTTTTCATAAAGTTGCCGTTAACTCAACAAGCCAACAGCATGTATAGGGGATACTCGGCTGTCCTTTCTCTGTCCAGGCCTCGTCAATATAATGCGTTGCCGGTGGCATACGTTGCCGCACCGTGAGCCTTCCCCCTCCTCCCTCGATTGTGTCACCAAATGCGTCTATAATGTAACCCCCAGTGTACCTGCGGAGATGCGTCTCCGGCGGCCCGTTCGCTCTCCGTAGAGCTGACGGAGCCGGAGGTACCGCTGTCATCTTCAGCGCCCGGATCGTCGCTCTCTGAGTCCGACCCCCACGTCGAGTCGCATTCCTCAATGGTGCTCGGCTCTTTGAAACGCCAGCTGCCCAGCAGATTTCCCATTTAAAAACATGCAACACCTGCTCTCTTTTATTTTCCTTTTCTTTACAAAAAATACCACACAACTTTCCTCATAGCCCGTTTTTAGGTTTGCAGAGCATTGGCCTCACACTGTTCTCAAAGCGGAGCAAATGGCAGAAAAGGGAATTTCCACATCAGCAATGATGACGCATGGCTGTGTATGAGGGGTTGATAGTGCTCTGTGCCCTGTCCACGCTGCTCTAATAATAATGGATAATCACCTTTATTGGCCAAGTATGCTACACACAAGGAATTTGTTTCCGGTACAGAACCGAGGCAGCCATCTGCGGCGCCAACTCAACCGATGGCTCTAACAATCGGGGGCAACGGGGGGGGTTCAGTGTCTTGCCCAAGGACACTTCAACATGTGGACTACAGGTACCGAGATTTGAACCTTCAACCTTCTGGTTGGGAGAGGATTGCATACCCACCGCACCACTGTCCCCTCTCCCACTCCTCCTACACTGCAAAAAAAGGAATTTCAAGAAAATAAAATAAAAAGGCTTCTATCAAGGAAATAAGTCTTATTTTAAGTCCAGAAAGAAAATGTATCTGGTCAAGTGTAACCGAGTCACCATTTTATAACATATAATTACACAAAGTTGTTTATTAGTTTTAATCACTGTTTATCCATACCTAACATACCCTCTTCCCTTTTGATATTGTAAGATTTGAGTCTTATAGACTCTAGTTACTTTATAAGCTTTAGTTACTTCTCATACCTTTAGTTACCTTTCATAACTTTATCTTACTTGTTTATGCATATTACAGCTGTATTGATTATTGTCCAGAACTACTGAGCCTTGGTTATGTTAATACATTTATTTCCCTTGCTTATATATCTTACATCTGTAATGAAGTAGAATCTGCTTAATTTGAATGCTGTAAGTTCTGTGTAGAGACCAGATGTCTGCATCTCTTTCTGACCAGACAGCCAATTCACATTTTAACAGACACTGCATTGTTTATATCATCATTTCTAAGGAAAGCCCTAATTTTTTCTTTTAAATATGACATGTTGCATATTTCTGATGTTGGTCCCAAAGCACACTCATAAAAAAAAAATTGGGTGTTCAGAATCACTGCATTCTGACAACATTCATACATTGGATTGTGTTTTATTAAAGACTTGCAAACATTTCTAAAATTTAGTTTTGAGGCCCACTGTTTGAAAAAACAATGTTTTGATTCAAATCTCATGCACATGTGACGGACCATTGGCATTACCAGGTCCTCATACAATCTGCCCAAAATTGCATCAACTCCACATTCAGACAGCTCACCCTTCTTTGCAATAGCAAGTATATGGATTGCAGCTAATTATGATCGATACTTTGGATTAATGTTTCCCAATGTATAATAAAACATTAGCAACTTATTCTTGGAAGCATGACATCCAAGTGGGTTGCAAATTTCAATTTCATCAGAGTAAATGATTATCTGTAAAGCAGAGGGCCGGGCTAAAAATAAAGGGTGTGATTTCATGAGCTCTCCATCTATGATGTCATACAAATACTCACTTCTGTACTTCTGTGGCTGATCTAATATTTCCAAAACTTTTGGATGTGACAATAACTGTTCTAAACTTTTGATCAGAGGTATGTAAAAAAAAACATTTGGGTATTGTAGAGAGGACCTTTTTCCCCCCTTTTTCTGCATGCAGGCAGCATACGCAACACAAACCTCCTCTGACTCCACTGTAAGGGTTAATTCCCAGTACTTCTTACCATGCCAACTCTGAGAGACGAGGCGGTCCCAGTAACTTCTAAACTGTGCTGGTTTATTCAAGGATCACAAGCAGAATTAACATTACACGCTCAGGTATCTTCCACCTCCAAACTGCATGCAGGCAGATGAAAGATGAAAACCCCGAACCCCAACAGGCCTGTACATTATATCTGTTTTGGGCTAACCCCATTCTACACAGGAACGTCAAACCGTGACGTCACCTGATATGCCAGCTATGCAGCTGACCAGAGCAGTAGTCAAAACATGAAGAAAATCAATGTGTGTGTGTGTGTGTTGATTAAGTGGTGTGTATTTAAAAACATTCTGGCAGGACATTCAGTGACATGTCCTGGTACTAAACATACGCAGATATTATGATTACGATTACGGTTAAGCACATCATAATAATAATAATAATCATCCTGCCTGCTGACAATCAAACTTTTCTATCTAGTTATTCTTGCCCATGTGCACCCTGCTAAAATCTCATGACAATGACTAAGTGTTTAAACAGTCTAACTAGACATCCTGTCTCCACTAAACATTTCTAATACAAGTAGTACCTAACCAATATCTATTTGACTAAAAAATACCTAACATGATCCTCGCCGCCCTCCTTTTGACCCGAGAGGTGTACAGGTCCTCCATGGAGCACAGGCTTGCACCAATGACCTTTTCTGCAGTCCTCACTGTCCGCTGAAGTCTGTATTTGTCCTGTTTGGTTGCTGAGCCAAACCAGACAGTGATGG